AGGCTGAATCCTGGGCAGAGACGGTACCACTTCCATTTCAAAGGACCCCTCTTCTTTACCGTATCATGGGCAGGGTCAATAGTTGCGATCGCACTTTTTCAAAAATTTTTACGACGCTCTCTCCTTCATAGGAGGAGGGTCTCTACACGACCACCGCCCTCAATCCACCCCCTCACCCCCTCCACCCATTCCGATCATAGCCTTCATGGCTGTTACTGTAATATTTGATTTTGAGACCAATTGACCCACTCGATCTCCGCCTACTTTCTCCTCCAAAGCGGCGCCGAGTGGGTTCATATATATCCATTGATACCGAGATCTTTTGGAATATTTCTACTTTGTGCTTCTTTTGTGAGCTTTTTCTCGTTTTGGAATGGAAAAATCATCACGGTCAAAGAAAGGTCACGGTCAAAAAGAACACGGTCAAAAAATGGCTCCCTTTTCTGCAACAACGACTCCTTCGACTTTCACAAACGACCCCCGTTCGCACTTTTCCAAAAGTGTTGACTTTGCTCAACCCCATATATCTCCAAATACGCCCCCCCCCCCCTTCGAATAGTGCGACTGTTGGCAGAGAGGTGAACATTGAAAGGGGCGCAGTTTTCGCCGACACGTTCGGCTTGGAATGTGCTACGAAGAACTTTCTAGTTGTAGATTTCATCCTCTTCATACTTGTCGACCAAGCTTCACATTTGCTTTCATTCTCAAAAGCAATAACCCACTTGTTTATGTTTATTTTTAATGTGTCGATAGCATAACACTGAATAGACATAGTTTTAAGGTCGCCCGCCAATGACACAACCAGTATCAAGGGGTCTTCTAGTAATGTACCGTTCTATCCAGGTGGAAAAATTGGCCTTCTAGCAGAGGTGAAGTTCTGTTTACCAAGAAGCTGAGTTCTAGGTGGTTTCGATAGTGCGTTTGGTAACGTGATGGCATTCACTGGCAGCGAAGAAAGACGTTGAATGCGATGAGAACGAATTTTTCCGTCGCGAAGGTTGGTTTTGTTTTTTGAATTTTTTCCTCTAATTGCGTTGAACTACTCTTTCAGATCTGCTTTCGTGTGCACCTGGAATGAAGAGAGGGTTGGACCTTGTTCTACCTGCGTGCTCTAATAGATAAGGAAGAACCTGCCACTGGAGCTGACACCGTAAAACAAGATGGAACCATAGATTTTGACTCTGCCTGACTTGTTTGACCTCATGGACTTCGTTGGTGGAGGTCTGCATTTGTTTGGGGCTGCAAGTCATGCCCACAATACTAACGATGGTCATTTCACAGGCGCTCCTTTGATACTGCCTGCTGAGACTTCTTCCATGGAAAAAGAAAAAAGCCCTGAAGAGCCGCAAATAACCCTTGAGCCAAAGGAGCCGGATTCCCCTGTTATGGAAGACGTCCAGGTATCATCAAAACATTTTAAATTAGCTTTCTGAATGATTGTTTTCTTCCATTTACATGGTTTGCTTAGTGGAACTCACATGAAAAGAGATCTCGTCATCGTCGTCCCCCAGAGTTTTCCTCCATCTTTCAATTGCACTACATTGCA